TCATTATTGTTATCATTATCATTTGTTTTTGTTATCACTATCATTGTCATTATCAGTGTAATCATTGCTATCATTATAATTATTATTTCTTGTATTATTATTATAATTATCACTATTATGATTATCATTATTATCATTGATCCTGATTATTTTTACTAAAATAATCTAGGGATATCTATCTTGTTAGTCCTTTTATTTCCTGTTCCGTGTGCAAAAGTTGCTGTACAATCCAACCCCGGAGAGAAAATGCTTGTAGTTTTTTCACGTAGGGGGGGGTCAACGGTTTCTTTATCGATGTGCTGATGTACTGTATATGTGTGTCTATGTTGAATAAAAGAATGCACATACACATACACACAGATATATATGTATATATATATATATATATATATATATATATATATATATATATATATATATATATATATATGCACATAGGTGTGTGTGTGTTATATATGTAAATATATACATATATGTGTCTGTGAGTGTGTGTGTAAAAAGAGAGAGTGACAGAGAGAGAGAGAGATGAATAAGAACTAAATCAGTTCAGTTCAGTTAGATTTGCGAAGTCATGCTTCGCCCGGGCCTTTTCTCTGGGGTGGCCCGGCCTGTGTGTTAACTATTTCTAGTTAACTCAAATGTTTTCTTTGAACTGCATGCTTACCGCGGTGGCTGGATTGCAAGCAAGCGATCCAGCTGCCATGGTGAAAGCATATTGCACACCCTTTTTACCAGCCCGGCGGCTGTGGTGGGTGGTCCCTGTCTCAGAAATTGTGTGTGTACACAATTCTGCAAGTAATGTAACAGGGTGGCGTTAGGCTCGCCGCAGTGTTTACATGACCTCCCAGACTCACTGTCAATAATTTGCCAAGCGCATTGGTAACCTAGTCTTAGTCTGAATAGTATGACTTCGGTACCTCTTTTTGTGTTTGGAGGAAGGGCCAGTGGCTCATAGCCTGAAGCATCTGAGTACCACTTGGCAGCGAGCGATTTTGTGATGTTTTCTCTATGTGCTCCCCGGAGGACCGCACACGCTGTAGCTTTGGTACCTTGGCTCAGTCCCCTTCGGCTGGGTTTAACGATCATGGAGGATGGGGGCATACCCCTGCCCTTTTCGGCTAGTTTATCAGCAAGCTCGTTCCCTTGTATGCCTATGTGGCTTGGGACCCAGTTTATGATGATTCTTCTACCTTGACTAAGGATTCTTTGGGCTATGTATAATACTGTTGTCAAGAGGTAGATGTTATCTGGGGGCATGCTATGCTGTAAACTGTCAATAGTTGCTCTTGAATCTGTGTGAATGACAACGTGTCCTCCCCTCAGGGACGCGTGTGTCAATGCTTCCATGATCGCAACCGTTTCAGCCTGAAGCGTTGAGGCATTGTCAGTGACCCTAATGGATGCTGTGGTATCCTTTGTTGCAAAGCCGGCGCCTGCAGTATGGTTTATTGGATCCACGGATCCGTCCGTGTAGTAAGTTATACTACCCGGCGGAGTTATTTGTTCAATGACCCTTTGTGCTTGTGCCTTTAGGCTAGGCATGGAATATTGATCTTTTCTCATTGTGAGATTTAAAATTGAGAATTCGATCATTTCATTTGCCCACGGCGGGGTTCTTTGTAGTCAGGGTGGGGGGAGTCCATACCCTTGGCAAGCAATAAATCTTTTAGTTGAAAGCGTATCAAAACTCTGGCTGTATGTGTGAGCCAGGAATTGTCTGCAAACAACTTATAGTCTTGTTGTAGGCGTCTGAGAACTCTTTGTCTTAAATAGGAGTTTGTGGTGCCTGCAGGACCTTGGAAAGGAACTGTGCTGCCATTAGATCAATTCTAGTGTCCACGGACGGTAAATCAGTTTCCATGAGGAGGTTGATGACCTTTGTCCACTTAGGTGCACCTAGAATGATCCTGGCTGCTTCGTTTTGTATTGTTTCCAGTTTTTCTTTTAATGTTGTGCTGGAAGCAATGAGGGCGACAGATGCATAGTCAATAATAGGACGGACAGCATGTACATAGAATGATCTTAGTACTTTGTGTCCTGCTCCTATGTGTCTCCCTGTCATGACTTTCATGACTGACAGTCTTTCCTTGGTTCTGTCAAGCAGGTATTGGATCTCCTTTTTGAAAGTGAGTGTGTGTCCTATCCATACACCAAGGTATAGATAGTCCTTCACCCATTCCAGATCCATACCCTGTATGGTGAGTTTTTTGTTTCTGACATTGGTTCTCAGTGCCATTGCTTTGGATTTTGCTGCTGATATTTTTAGACCCGTCCTACAACACTCTTCAGACACCAGGTTCAGACAACGCTGAGCCCTAGTTAGGCAGTGGTTGCCAGAGGCTATGATTGCCAAGTCATCTGCATAAGAGATGATCTAAGAACTAAAGAAAGAATGAAAGAGAAGTCACAGACACTCTCCCTTCCAAGAAACTTCGTAAATCATCCGAAAGCGCCGAAACGGCCTTTAATCACCACGGTAGGTCGTTATCAGCTTTAATTGCTCTCTTTAAAGTCCTCGTGGATCTATCTTGGTTGCTCTGACTGATTCGAGACTGAGAAGACTGATGAGCCACAAATTCTCGTTGTTTAGAGAACAGATACACCATCAAATCGATTTTTTTCTGAAGTGTTTGAATATTTTTTGGTGATTTTTAAACCTCACTGAGCATATCTCGATTAGAATAAAGGATATTAAAAAAAAAGAGTTACTGGAAAGAATGGAAAGTAATCTAGCAAAGAGCCGAAAATTCCAAAATCATAAGGACTGTTCAACTGTTAAACCTAAAATACCCTTGAGAAACGTTCCATCTACGATATAATAATACTCAAAATTGACAAACGACGACGATAAAAGTGGTCACTAACTAATCCCACAATATAAAGACGATTGTTTCTGTTCCTACACAGACATACAGTAAATAAGGAGTTTGGAGATTTCAAACGTCTTTTCCACGCAACTACACATTTACCAGTTTGTCGTTCCAGGTGATGGCTTCCCTGTTCTAGAAGTGTGGTGTTTATAGCTAATTGTTATAGACTTCCTGTTGACCATTCTGAGCCACCTATATATATATATATATATATATATATATATATATATATATATATATATATATATATATATATATATATCCCTCAAGGTACAGTTTTATATTTCCGTCTGTGAGCAAGTGATGAGGCATTAGCTTTTGCGTGGGTTAGGCTGTGGGTAATCCTTGAGGAATATGGTTTACGTGGAAAGTTTTGTATTCATATACTCAAGAATATGTCGATAGATATAATGTAATACACACACATAGGCACGAAAACACAAACACACACACACACACACACACATATAATATATACATACATACACATATATGTGCGTGTGTTTCTGTGTATGTGTGTTCATGCATGTGTGTGTGTGTGTGTGTGTGCATATATATATATATATATATATATATATATATATTATATATATATATATATATATATATATATATATATATATATATATATATATATATATATATATATATATATATATATATATATATATAGTATATATATATATATATATATATATGTCTATATCATATATATATATATACATATATATATATATATATATATATATATATATATATATAATATATTATATAGTCTATCTATCAATATCTCTTCCTATGTATAACTTTCCAAATAGTTTCAACATGAGATAACGAACCTCCGGGCGCATAGGAACACGACTGTAAATCGACAGAGCCAGAATATATATGTCTGTGTGTGGTGTGGTGTGTGGTGTGTGTGTGTGTGTGTGTGTGTGTGAGATTGAGTGTGTGTGTGTGTGTGTGTGTGTGTGTGTGTGTTGTGTGTGTGTGTGTGTGTGTGTG